TCACAGTATTGCACAGTCATTAGAATAGATTTACTAAGACAGCAGAAACACAAGGGTTACCATCAGTTTTCCACCACCACTAATAATAGTTTAATTCAACATTCTAGGTCAGTGTCTTGATGTGTAAAATAGATGTAATAACAACTACTCAAAAGATTATTGTATTTGTGAAGATTAAGTGAAGTAACAAACAGGAAGCCCTTAACCCCAAAATGTCTGCCCCAAAATGGTAACTCAAATGGGTATTCATTTGTGTTATTGTATTTGGTAATGCTTATCTGCACAGGCAATAAATCAGCACAGGACAGGCTTTTGAGCCTGGGTTAACATCCTTGCTCCACTACTTTCTACCTCTATAACCAACTTTTAAGAAAATTTCAGACTCCTCCATTAAAAATGAGGAAATAGTACCTACTTGATATGTATGGTTTAAAATGTTTGTGCTTTACTATACAGAAAACATTAAAACAGGGTTTGGTACATGGTAAAGAGTCAATATTCTTTAAAGTACTGAATATAAACTTCCTGCTATCTCAGGGATCATTTAAGTTTAACCTTACCATTTTATAGGCCAAGGTATAGAAAAGATTTCTCCAAAGTCACATACATTTCTGAATATTTTGACACTTAGTCTAGTTATTGATAATAGTGTTTCAATTTGTATTGACTGTAAAACCCATTTATATGGAAAGAAAATAATTCAAATAATATAATTGACACTAAAACCTAAATGAACACATTTTGTTAATTTTTAGAAAGTTATGTTATCTCAGATTTTATTGTTCCTTTCTAAGAGTTGAAATATGTGCCTCTTGAGGGACCCTATTTGTGTTGGTATGAAGCAAAGTTTGTTAATTCTAATTTCAGATTGGTGTTTGGATTGTTTCTGTTCTCAAGCACATAGTAACTTTGTCCTCGGGTAGATGATTTTTCTGCCTCATAATCCCTTCGAGTGACCTCACCACCCCATTAGTAACACAGATGCTAGATATCCACAATTCTATTTCGTTACAAGCTCTCTGTCCCTCAAGGAGATGCTAAAACTAGAACAATGAGTAGATTTCTTTCCTGGCATGCCCTTCCATAGTTTGAAAAAATATATACATAGTTAAAGAGTTACTATACTGAGAAGTTGTTGAATTAATTTTATCACAGAGGTGCAAACATTTGCCCTTAAATAAACCCCTCTATCTATAGTAATGCTTTGACATCTTTGTCTCAGTTAATTTAATCTGAGTTGAATCCTGAGCCTTACTAGTCTTAGCTATGTGACCTTGAGCAGTTATTTTTGTTACTCATTATCAAATACTTATTCCACACTCATTCTGTTGTCTGTTACTATGCTAGATGATCTGATCAGAAATTATTTCATGTTCATATCCACTTTCATATTCAATTAAAATGAGAAAAAATACAGAAAAGATACAGTAGTCATGGGAATAACGCAAGACAGCTAAAATGTATAGAAAAACCCTTTCAGAGAGAGGTCACTGGAAAGTTGTATGTCTGAAATTTTCTGAAATGAACCCAGCCTATTAATTTGAATTTATAGAGAGAATGAATTTTTCTTCCTCCTACTGAATTATAAAAAAAATAAATGAAAATCCACTGAAACACACCCTATCAATTTTAAGTTTTAATAAACTTTTTCAGAGGTCAGAAAGGCTATATTTTCATTTCAATAAAATAAAACCATTATTTGCCTTAACACTCTTTTTTTATATTATGTAATAACCACACTGGATTTTGAAGCAAACGAGAACCGCCACGGGAAGAAAAAGCACTGCATGCTTTATATTTTCTTCTCTGGATGCATTATTTCAGTATTAGTACGATAAAGCAGTTTTAAAACTACAGGAGGGGCTGGGGAGGTGGCTCAGTGGTAGAGCGCTTGCCTTGCATGCATGAGGCCCTGGGTTCAATTCCTCAGCACCACACAAGCAGAAAAAGCTAAAGTGGCAATGTGGCTCAAGTGGTAAAGCGATCACCTTGAGCTGAAGGGCTGAGGGACAGTGCCCAGGCCCAGAGTTCAAGACCCATGACCGACCCTCCCCCCCTCCAAAAAAAAACTACAGGAAAATATGATTGTCTTCCTGGAGTAGCAGTTTAACTTGTTAATAAAATAAACATTATATTGCATATAAAAGTGTTATAGATATCGAATGAAATAAAAATTTTATCAGTTTTAAAACTTAAACCCCAAATCCCATGGGCTGTAAGTGTGAGCTAATTGCAGAATTATTATACATTTTCATTTTATTCTTATGTAATGAATAGTATTGAATTTAAAGTGCTATTTTATTTTATTTTATTATTTTATTTTGTTTTGTTTTGTTGGTTGTGGGGCTTGAACACTGAGACTGGGCACTGTCCCTCAGCTCTTCAGCTCAAGGCTAGTGCTCTACCAGCCACAGTGCCACTTCTGGTTTTCTGGTGGTTTATTGGAGATAAGAGTCTCATGGATATTCCTGCCCAGGCTGGCTTCAAACCATGATCCTCAGATCTTAGCCTACTGAGTAGCTAGGATTACAGGTGTGAGCCACCAGCACCTGGTTTCAAGTGGTATTTTAAAGTCTATTGCATTAGTAGATAATAGAGTAGGAACTGATTATTAGACCTGAATAATCAAGTGTAGTTGGTGTATAACAACCAGCTATTAAGACGTGTCATATATTTCATGCCAAGAGACCTTTCTGCGCCCTGCCAACAAGTAGAATTCCTCTCTTCTGAGCACATCTAAATCACAAACTAGTATCTAACCTCTGCCATTCTTGGCATTGTTTGACAACCACTGTTCTTTCAATAAAGTAGTGCTTAATTTTTCTCATTGTTTTCATGTTTGCTGGGCATGCCTAGTTCCTAACAGCTGTCAACAACCTTATGAGTATACCATTCCTTATGGTCCTGATAGCAACTTTGAATAAGAACCTCCTCAAGGAACCCTCAAAATACAACTTGCCTGAGTTGATGTTGATTCACTATCCATTGTAAAACATAATTTGTAAATATTCTTTATATGGTTTTGACATTCATCTTTAGTAGGAATTTGATTCAAACTGTATTCTAAATACCACTATTCAACATCATCAAGCATTCAAGACTACTGCTAATGTTTTAAGTTGTGATACCTAAAAATTTCCTGAATAATTAATACAATCAGTGGAGCCTGTGGAATTTATTCAGACAAGCCAATCACAGCCCCAATCAGGAGATCCTACAAAGCCTGCTTCCAAAGCCCTGGTTATCTGTTCTGTTCCCCATGTAACATGGAACAGCAGGTTGTGAGGACACGTGGTTAATAAACTCAGTCTCTTCTGTTTGACGTTTGATATTGTAGGTTTTGCCAACTCTATATGCTTAGAATGAGAATATGTTCCTCACCCAGGGGCAAAAAGGAGATGGTTAAAACGTTTCTCCTCCCTTTACCTAGCACTATAAACTAATACTGGAGTAGGAAAAGATTAATATATCAGTTACTGGCACGAGTGATATCTGAGTTACCTTCTAATCCCAAGATTTTGTTATTTCTGGATTTCCACTGCTATTGTGAGCATTTGTTTTCCAAACACTGACAGGGCAATTTGTTCACCTCTTTATTACTAGTTCCCATTAGATGATTCAATAAACTATGTACTTTTACATCTTTCTCCTCTCCACTCAACACTTAAAAAGTCATGTTTTATTAATCTTCATATATCCTTCATATATCCTCCAAAGAAATAATAACAGACATAAAGCGGACAGTCAGTAAATATTTGTTGAGTGGATCTGAAAATTACTTTATCCATCAGAATCTGAGGAAAAAAATTATCAATGAGCTTTGATGTATTCCATGAACAGTAATACATAAATGGGGTTTGTCTAACACTGTTGAAACATTCCATTCACCTTCAAAGGATGGAATCAGTCTTGATAGTATTGCCTGAATTTACTTTTCTCCTCCCTCTTCTGCAATGAATGAGAATTGCGTTAAGGTTTCTAAAGATCCTTGAAGCCAAGCACCTCATTTTGTTTGGGGCTAATCCAAGAAATGACAAAATGATCCTAACTCTTTGCCTATCTGTTGATCCTGCTGAAGCAATTACTTCCCAATTAACTGCTGAGAACTAAAATCTTGTTTCTTTAAGATGTTATTATTTTAATCATAGTTCCTTCTCCAAATGTAGCACCCCTATCAGAGAAACATGGAGAAAGAGAAACTGGTTGGAGAGGCATGTTTGGCATGTCTTTTCCTGTGATATCTGTTTGGCACAAATTTATTTTTAACTAGTCTGTTAAAAGGTACATACTCATAGGGTGACACAATGTTTTAATACATGTAACATTTTGTAATATGTAAGTCAGGCTAAGTACATCTATCTCTTCAAACATTTATTAAATCTTTATGGTGAACCAGTCAGATCCCTATTCTCTCTGACCTTCTGAAATGCACTCTGTATTGTTGTTACACTTGTCCTACTATATTAGAGCTGACTAGAATTTCTTGTTTCTGACTGTGATTTAGATAGATCATTGTCCATTCTTCCTACTGGTTACTCTAATTGTACTCCCTACTTCTCTGAGGTCAACTATTTATAATTCTACATGAGTGAGATCATTCTATAGTTATCTTCTTTTGTGCCTGGCCTATCTTACTTAGCATAATGGTCCCCATTTCCATTTATGCTGTCACAAATCATAGGATTTCATTTTTTATGGCTGAGTAGTATTCCATTGTATGGTCCAGTTTTTCTTTATACGTCTTCTGTTTTATTACTTATATTAAATAATTTAATTAGTGAGGCCTTCTTTTAATATAATACCATGTCCTTTTTCTTATCCCTAGATTTAAGAATTTTTAATGAAAAATCTGATCTGAAGAAGGAATTTTTATGTTTTATAAATCATCATCATTTTTTAATCATCATCTATCTAATAATAAGATGTACTGTCTTCCAATTGATTATTCATTTCAAGACTTTAATATAACAAAAGTGTTTATCCCTTGTCTTTATTCACAGTAAACAGATCCGAGCTATGTTAGGCCAGTTTAGTCAGGCAGAAGGCTTACTAATGAAAGCTGGAGTTCAGCCAGAGACTTTCGATGGAGTTCTTTTGGATCTTGGATGTTCCTCCATGCAACTTGATGCTCCTGAAAGAGGTTTTTCCCTTCGGAAGGATGGCCCTTTGGACATGAGGATGGATGGTGGCAGGTGAGTATTGATAAAGCATTTCTCCTTACACACAGACAGACAGACACACTCACACACACACACACAGACACACAAACAGCACCCACACAAATCAATTACCCCCCAAGATGGTCTGAATTTAATTTCCTTTTAAGACTAAAGAATTACCATTATACATCCACATCTAGCAATACCAGTACATAATAAATCAATTTCGTTTGTTACTCATTATAAACCTTTAACATTTCCTTGGCTTTGCAATTCTCAAAGAAATTAATTGCCATTTTTATACACAATAGTATGGAGAAATTTTGCAGTTGATTATTTTTTTCAATGATATGAACTTGTCATACTAACGATATGAATAAATGTCATACTGAAACAATGGTTTTACCCTTATACATGCCTCACTCAATCTCTTATGAACTATATTTAATGCATATTAGATTATAATATTACAAAAAAGCAGTTATCCAGAGGTCACCAGTTGTATGTTTTTTCCCATCTCTCCTTTTTTGTGTATTAGGTTACCAGTTGTATGTTTTTTCCCATCTCTCCTTTTTTGTGTATTAGTACTTGGGCTTTAACTCAGGACGTGGGTATTGTCCCTGAGAATTTTTGTTCAAGGACAGCAATCTACCTCTTGAGTTCCACATCTAGCTTTTTGGTGGTTAATCAGATATGAGTCTCATGGACTTGGTTGGCTTTGAACCATCATCCTTATATCTCAGGCTTCTGGTGGCTAGTTTAACAGATATAAGTTACTAGTGTCCAGCTGTCATGTCTTTTTTTACTGGCACTTTGAACTTTCTCCAGAGAAATTGCAACTTATGATAGTACATTAAACATAGCCCTGTGTGTGATACCTTTCATACCTGGTCTTCATTTCCACAACACTGCAGAAATAATAACACTTGTTCATAACCTGTGAGCATGTGCAAAAATTAGTTTTTACCTGAATTAATGTTTAAAACTTGGTTTAACACATTTTTTTAGTACCAACTTTGGACCTGAACCTATATCAACAAAACATAACTGTTTTTTCTGATTCATATTTTGACCTACCACAATACACTTTGTCTTATGTTATTATTCATATATAGCCCTTTACCCATGTTCTGACATTATTTCTTAACTTTGGTTGTGAGCTGTATATTTTTAGAATACCGATGTTTCTGAGTCTTATTTCTTCTGCTTTGTGCATTGTTAACATTCATAGAATGAAGAATGTCATCATAAAAGAAAATAATAAAAAATTCACTAAAAACCAATGACTACCAGTAAAGGTCAAACATTCTCTTGTTTAGAGCTCGAGGTGGTTGTTCAGAAACAATAAAAATGTCAAACAAATTTCTGTTGTGTTCCTTGCTAAAGAACATGCCTTCAGAAACACAATGAATAAAGTATCTAATAAACAGTAGTAAAGACCCATGTTTGTAATATAAACACCAGCATATTTTTGTCTGTTTCAGAATCACTGATGTTCTCGTTCAAGATCTTGAAAATAAATTGCTCTGGAGAATTAAACTCTTAAGTAGATACCTAGTAGATGGACTAAGAATTGAACAATTTCTCTTAAAAAGCTGAATGAATTCTGAGTAGATAGCATAGACTGTAAACCTATCTATGGCATTTTGAAATGGAAAATTAATTCACTTGAGTTCTTAGAAACAGGAAAGTCAGAGATGCAAATATGTGTACTGCAGTTCAAATGAGGTAATAGACAGTTTTGGTCCAGAACAAAAATTTGATGTCTGATCCTGGAGAGTGATGTATCCCTTAATGAAGATGGACACAGGAGCTATTTAACACTGAAATATTAAAAAGTAATTTATTCTGTGCTGAATCCAATTTCAATAATAGCTTTAGATTATAAACATTCTAGTATAGCAAAAAGAAATTCAAAGCTCTAAGGACTTGAAAGTTTTTGCTGGCAGTTCATAAGATGTAATAAGTTGGCAAATATCTTAATTGTTTTGCTCTTGTATGTAGCCACTGTCAGTCACTAAAATCTATAGGAATGACAGTACTGCCCTGTTAAGCAAGAGGCACATCCAGAATCTTAGCTTCTTCTCCATATGAAAACCATTCCAAAACAACCTGGTAGCCAGCCCTCAGAGTAATGTCCAGCTGCCTTGGAGCATTCTAGAATGCTTCTATCCTATTATTTAGTGTTAATATAAGAATAAAAAAATTACTTTTGTTGTCCAGTGCATTTTTTGACTTTTTTCTTGAAAAACTTCTAAGCACACCAATATTATCTTTAAAACAATTTTTAGTTAGAGTATATGATTCTCATGGAGACTACCATAATTAACAAGGTCTGTTCCAATACTCAGTGGTTTTGACAAGTTCATTTACAGATAGGTAAGGCCCAGTATGAATTTTGTCACTTATGCAAAAAAATAGCCCCTTGAATTTTTGAATAGGGAATATCTGAAGTACGTTAACATTCTCTGAATATCATCTATGTGCCAGTCATTATACTATCCATGTTTAAAGTTCCATGAACCCCTACTTGTCCCAATAACTATGGGGCATAAATATTGTTACTTTAATCTCATAGTTCAAGTATGTTTAAAAGGTTTCCCAATGTGAGTAACAGGCCAGGATTCTAGTCAATCTGTCTAACCCAAAAGACCACATCTGTACCTTGGCAGACAAAGACGCCAAACTCATTGAGGTAGATAAAAGGGCTAACTTACGTAGCAGTGGTCGGGGAGTGACATGCTGCCTTGATCCCTTTCTTCTACTCCCTCTACCCCAAAAAAGAAATCATTGTATGTGGAAAGCAGAATTTGTCCTTCTCCCTCTAAGATATATAGACAGAGATTAAGGACATAATAAAATGAGGGACATGCCAAAGCCGAGTTTTGGTTTGTTTGTTTTTCCTTGAAAGTACTAACATGGTAGCAGTTTTGTATTTTTAAGAGGGTTTGTGGTCTCAGCCTCCTGAGTAGTTAGGATTACAAGTATGAATCACAGATGCCCAGCTCCAACAATCAATTTACTATGCCTCACATTTAGTTAAGTTCTTGAGTTGTAGGTTTGTTCAAATATCAGCAGTAGGCCTTATATTTCTCTCTTAGACAAAAATAAATAATAAAATAAAAAATATTGAAGTAGTAATTTAAATTTAACAAACTTAAGTCCATTAAAATAATTCCCACTAAAATAGTTTCCCCATTATTTTAGTTTGAGATAAATCTATGGAAGCAATAAATTCTGTGAGTGAAAGTTAAAGGTTAGTAAAATATTTTACCTTCCTGCTGCTATGACTTTGATGAGAGTTAGAGTTCTTGCCGTTAATGATGACTATAGAAAATGGGAAATCTTTTTCATTGTGTAAAACTTTGGTCTCTTTAAAACCCCACATGCTCTTCTAGACTATGTGTTGTACATGCCTGACTTGATGTCTCTGTACTCTGAAGTTTCAACTCCAACCAATAAAAACTGACCTCAGTGACCTAATTGCCTCTTTGTGTGCATAGGTATCCTGACATGCCTACTGCTGCTGATGTTGTGAATGCTTTAGATCAGCAGGCCCTTGCATCCATCCTAAGAACATATGGGGAGGAGAAGCATGCCAGAAAAATTGCTTCAGCAATCGCCCACGCACGAAGCATATACCCTATCACCAGAACCCAGCAGCTTGCCAGCATTGTTGCAGGTACTCTCACTAATTATGATAGTGTCTGAGAGGAAGAAAAGGACAGAAAGAAAGGTGTTTCTTTTTTTCTTTACTACCAGAAGGATTCATTGGTATCTGAAATCATACAGGATAGTGTTCCTATCTTCTAACGTCAAATTTCTTTGAGTTTTCAGGATTTGCTCCTCCAATATCTCTTCCCCATATTCAACTAAAAAAAAAAACAACTGTATACTGAAGTTTGTTGATTAGTATAATAGCAGAGTTTTTACATGAGGTATTTAGTCATTTGTGTCTAATAAAATGAAACATGGAATGATGAGCAAAAGAATTTCTTGATCTGTCACAGTGGTTGGTATGCATCTTGTATAATATTTGACATTACCACTTTTAGTTTCACATTTCTGCATTTCAATATTTTGGGAAAAAAGGAGAATTTCATTGCTCAACTGCTAAAATAAAATCCAGTGACTCATACATCTATTCTAAACAAGCACCTAACAAAGGATATGTGATGTATAGGTTACTCCACTTTGCGAATGCTAACAAAATCAGCCTATAGGGCTTATTGAAACATTTTGTCTTTTCTGCTGTGCCCCACCATAAACCTCTTGAACCTAACTGTAGCTAGGAGGTACTTTATTATATAGCCTTTTTGTTTGAAGCCAAAGTTGTTTCACAGCTGTGTTTCATGATGAAAGTTTTCCAAGGTAAAAATACAACTCCTACAGTATTCCAGTGGTAAAGTATCTTACTAGAGCAATTGAAATCATGTATCATTTTTATTTACCAAAAATGTGTTTCTTTACAGTGGTTCCTGTTAAGTTACTTAGTTGTTTAAAGAAGAAGTAAAAATGAGGAATATTTATGGAGCATTTCAAAAGTACTGACAGTAGTTATATCTATCCTAATGAATACCATTAAGGTATATATAGCAATTGTTTTGTGGCATAATTAAATAATACCATATTCCCCTTAGGAATAAAATATAAGGAGAAGACTAAGTGTCTAATATTCTGAACTATATTATTCAAGGCACTTTAAAATCACTGTTGAGACTACTTCAGGCAAGTTAGATCAGAATTCTTGTTGGCAATGTGATTGTAAAATATTTCATGGTATTTTCCCCCTAAAAGAGTTTAAACTAGAATTCTGATGTGAAATTCATTGCTACCTTATGAACTTTTTTTCTTCTCCATATACAGTAACTACTTCACCATAGCCTTTGGTCATTCCTTAAGTTACTATGCATGTTGGGTTCTGTTTAACATTAGAAATAAAAGCAGTAAGAAATTAGCTTAAGAAAATATATACTTTTCTAGTACAAAAAATGAGGATTGGGACTTACTAAGGACTCTGGAGATTTTTCTAGCTGAAAATCCCATTTGAAAACAAGTCTGAAGAAATCAATACTTTGCTCAAGATTATAGCCTTACTAATGAGATATTAGTACTAATCCCAAATCTAGGAAAGCATGGGGAAAATGGAGAATCTGCCTTTAAGAAACTAAAATGGGGAGTCTGCCTTTAAGAAGTTAACATTTCTGATTCTTGATCCTAATCTCTGAGGTTGGGGAAACAACTGTGTTTCATTAGGTAGAAATTCAATGATGATGTCCCATAGGAATAATTAAGGTATTTTTAGGATGATTGTTGATGAGAAAAACACATTAGAGCTGTGGAAAAATGACAGAGTAAATGTGAGACTATTCATGTATGGGTAAGTAAAACCCCAGTATATTAAATACCATTATCTGTCTCAGTATGTGTCTATAAAGTACAATTTTCTTAATGATGATACAGTTTTATTGAAAAGAAATCCCAATTTAATCCAAATTATTAAAGTAATACATAAATGTTGTGGTACTTCTAAATTTAATAAATTTAATAAGGCCAGGTATGGCCATACAACTAGCAATCTCAGTAGAACACCTGGCTAGGAAATACAAAGCCCTGAGTGCAAACATTAGTACTACCATAAATAAAAATAAAAAATAAATAAAATAAATTTTATAATCTTTTGATTGATTATCAAAATCAATGACCTTTATTAAGAATAAAATAGCTGGCCGGGTGCCAGTGGCTCATGCCTGTAATCCTAGCTACTTAGGAGGTTGAAATCTGAGGATCATAGTTCAAAGTCAGCCTGGGCAGCAAAATCCGTGACACTCTTATCTCCAATAAACCAGTAGAAAACCAGAAGTGGTGCTGTTGCTCAAGCATTAGAGCACTTGCCTTGAGCTGAAGAGCACAGGGACAGCGCCCAAGTCCAGAGTTCAAGCCCCGCAACCGAAAAAAAAAAAAAAAGAATAAAATAATTATGAAATATATTTGGGGAGAGATGGCAATTTGACAAGCTTGATATTTAGGTACTGTATTCAAACTCTTTAGGAGTCCAGTAAACTCATTAATATATTCAAGACTATTAAGCCGATTGGGAAATATTCAGCATATAACAAAACCTGTATTTTGATGGAAACATGAATTACTTCACTTTTCAAAAGCTAATAATCCAGTAAGACAAGTAAAACTAACCACCATACTTGAAATTACAATGTACTCAGTAAAATTCTGTAATAACTTAGCTAATTATGCATAATGTGTAAAAACCAAAACCTACTAAGCACAAGAGAATTTTAGCAGGAGCGCTGAAAGACAAATTTTTAGGGCTCATTGGTGAATGGAACATAGCACTTTCAACTATCATGAATTACTTAATGAATTATCAAAACAGAAATTTATTTTTTTTGTTTATTCTTCTTGCAGAGTTGACATACAGAGCAGTTTTCAAGTCCCAAAACAGTCTGCAGAGCTTCGCTATTCATACTATAGATGATATAGATACTATTTTTAAAAAATAGCCAGGAGTTTTAATATAAGTGTTTAATGATAGAAAGTGTTATCTATGATTTTACCCCTCTAATATATATATATGTATATATATATGTATATATATAATATATATATGGAATTATAAGTTGTGTGGCATAGCTCAAGTGGTAGAGTTTCTACCTAACAAGAATATAGTCTAACAACATTAACACTGGTATACACTGGTAAATTAGAAAAACCACATTGCTTCCCCATGTTTTAGTACATATATATATATATGTGTGTGCATATATATATATATATATATATATATATATATATATATTCCTGTCTTCTTAATTAAGACTGCTAAGAGGAAAAATAATGCTCTGATAAAATCCTAATATTGACAATCAATACATTCCAAAATCTTCAAACTATTTAGAAAAAAGAAAATGTATATACTTGGTTGGGAGAAAAATGGGTATGGCCTGGATCTTGTAGAATTGATGTACATTTGATTTGTACAGAGTTGAAAATGAGAGAGATTGCAGACATCCTATGAATTAAAAATGCCTATTTTTTCTCAAAAATCTGGCTTCACGTATATCATTATTTTTCTATATTCTAATTCTCTTTTCATTCTCTGAGTACAGCAAAGATAATCACCAATGAAATGCTTGTCTAACTCAATGAAAAGAACTTAGTTCAAGTCCTAGCTCTACAGCTTTCTTCATATATTGAATGTTTATAGACCTCATCTTCTTGGCCTTGAAATAATAGTTAGATAATGTTATTGTTCATTCTTTTTAAAAATTATGACTATACTAATTATTTCTGCCTAAATCAAAAAAATATTCCTAACATTTTAAGATTTAAATTAAATTTTCATATAGATGATTGATCCAGAGTAAAATAGATACATAATATTACCTAAATGGGAAATGAAAGAGAGGAAAATTTCTTATATATTTGTGATTCATGTTGATTAAATGTACAGATTTATTCTGTGACTGAAACTTATGTAACCTTTATTCTGACTCATGAAGTGGTTACGTGGCCAGAGCTTAATGAATGCTTGTTGAACAAATAAATCAATAAAATGATGTTTACATTTCCAGTGAAGTGAAATGAAAATTCAGGAGAAAAAAGTGTAAATGGGAATCAATTGTACTCTGCCCTTCACTCTGAAGAGGGTAGCAAACCAAACATCAACACTCTCAGTATGAATCAAAGCAGCTTGAAGAGCAGGAAAGAGACCTCCAAACATAGAATTAAAAACAATCATTCTTTTTCTAGGTCTGCTATGTATATGCTCTATGAATTTGAGTCAGTCACTTATCTTCTATGATCCTACTCTAAAAAATAGAACTAATTCTTTCTGTGACCATAATGAGATAGTTTGTAGAGATGTTCTTTGCAAAATTAAAATGTAAGTACACTTGTCTACAGTTTTCTCACCGAAATAGGATAATTCAGAGAGAAAACAAGTGCTCTTCACAGTACCCTGTGTGTGGTCTTCTCTGTCCTTTGCCAAGGAGTTTGATAGGTTTATCATTTCATTCTGAGCTGTTCTTCCCATAAGTTATGTGACATTTAGGATGGGGATGAAAAGAAACCTTTTTATTCAGTGGGACATTCAATATGTAATATTGAACAGAAGTTTGTTTGGGAAATGTCACTTGATAATCTAAGTTATGAAGTTACCATATTAGTTCAGAGTTGATTAGATTGTACAAAACTAAAATAATGATATGCCTCAATTTATATCTAAAATTATCCTCTTTTTCATGCAAAGTTTTATTAAGACAGAGAGGCTTTTTAAACAGGTGAGTAGGTAAGTAGGTAGGTAGGATGGTAAGTAGGTAGACAGACATACAGACAGATAGATATGGATTGATAGATGTATAGATTGGTAGATAGAATTATTAGCAGTCACTGCTAACAAATTTTAGTAGGACAATAAATTTTTGTGATGAATTTTATCTATTTTTACCATCATTCTATTTAATAACCTATATACTATTACTTTGTCTTTCCCCTAAAAATACTCTTTATACCATATTGCTGTGTGATTCCAAAATAAAAATGAAGGTGTTAGTGTCTTTAGTTATCACCCAGATAGAAAACATATGATCAGACCCACAGTAGAATTTGGATGGTTTGCAATAGCTGTTTGCCCCTACCTTTGATAATGCACTTATTCTTCTA